CCACGACGTCCTGCCCCTCGATAACGGCTGCTGCCACGCCACTGCCACGGGCGTGCCGCTTTTTTCGCACGCGCTTGCATGGCCGCCTGCACTTGCCATCTGACAAGTCGACCTCCGCGGTGTCGGTGTCGCTGTCAGCTCAGCTGGCCAAGCAGGCACATCCAGAGCTTGAGGCACCACGTGTCGCGTCTCCTGGTACGGGAACTGAACCACCCAGAAGAACCACATCAGGTCTAGCAGGAGCTGGACAGTCGACAAGGCGATCGGCAAGAAGGGGCTCGCGAAGATCGCCACGACGTGCTGTGGCGCTGCATGGGGCCTCTGACGTCGCGAAAGCACATAGAAACGCAACATCTAGTAGACCAGGACCTAGCCGATGTGGCAAGCGATCCGCATAAAGAGGTGGACAGCGATGCGAGTGGAGCGAGGAAGGATGGGGGGTCAGCGGGAGGAGTGAGGCGCGAGACGCTGCGGAGTCAAAACAAGGACACAATACCACCGGATCCCTTCTGCGCGCCGCCGCCAGAGCGGTACCAGGCGGATAGTTAGTGCCTCCAAAAAATACTGACTAATCCGGCAAGCGCCCAGACGATCCGACAATTCCGATAGCACCTAAACATTTCAGCAAACGTCCAATGTCCTCAGGGAACCTCAGAGAGCCGTTGGACACATTCGGACATACTGGGAAGCCTTCTGGGATGTTTCGAAGAGCTTTGAAAGCCTCCGATGGCATCAGAGCAATTCTGCAGACATCCGAGAGCCTCAGACGTCTCCGAGAACTCTGCCTTCCCGCCGCCCCCCCGCCCCCCGCCGCCCCGAGGGAGTACCAGCACCTGGCGTCGGTGAGCACTGGCGTCTACCTCAACAACTGCAAGTACGGCATGCACGGGCCTCTGGAGGCCATGGCCGGGGACCAGAGGGATCGGACCTCCGGGTCCGACTCGGTCATTTCGCGGCGTTCGGAAGCACGACGGAGATGCTGTGGCTGTTCTCTGCTTTCTGTTGGGGCCTCCTGTGGCCATCTACAAGCAGCCCTGGGGAAGGGAGCCAGATCTCCAGGGGTCGACGATGTGAAGAAAGAACATGATGTCGGGGGTGTGGGCGTCAGGGTCCGAGAGAATGTGGTTTCCAACCCGGATGTTTTCTTAAATCTGTGTTTCCCATGCGCAGGGAGGTGGGGGCATCTTCGGGCCCCAGGAGTATCTAAGATTTGGGGCGTTCTTGAGCCATCTTGGGGTCATCCTTAAGCCTCAGGCCCATCGGAGGCGAAAAGGCGCGCAGGCCAATACGTTGATTTCCCTTCGGTTTGGGAAGGATGTTGGCCTCTTGGAGGATCTTCGGAGTGCTCCGAGAGCATATGTGAGCGCCATGGGGCATCTTCGAGCCTCTTGGAGGTATGTCGGAGGCTATCCTGAATCATGCTCGGCTAGCTTGAGCCCTCTGGCATCTTGCGCAGTCGTGGGCTCTCTAACGATCGCGCCCCCCGTCCGTCCAGGGCCAGGGGGGGAAAACCTCCCCGAATAGGTGAAGGTGGAACCTGGAAAAGGAAACGCTCTAGACCACCTGCGCCCAGAGGGCTGGTGGGATTCACATCGTCGGATGTTGCCAACAGTGTCGACCCTTGCCTCCAGTCCAGCCTGTCGTTTTCTTGATGGTCCCACGAGCCGGTGGGGCCCTTGGAGTCTGAAAACAGCAGAAAAAAGTGTGTGTGTGTGTGTATGTATGTGTGTGTGTGTGTGTTTGTGTTTGTGTTTGTGTTTGTGTTTGTGTGTGTGTTTGTGTTTCTGTTTCTGTTTCTGTTTCTGTTTCTGTTTCTGTTTCTGTTTGTGTTTGTGTTTGTGTTTGTGTTTGTGTTTGTGTTTGTGTTTGTGTTTGTGTTTGTGTTTGTGTTTGTGTTTGTGTTTGTGTTTGTGTTTGTGTTTGTGTTTGTGTTTGTGGGTGTGGGTGTGGGTGTGGGTGTGGGTGTGGGTGTGGGTGTGGGTGTGGGTGTGGGTGTGGGTGTGGGTGTGGGTGTGGGTGTGGGTGTGGGTGTGGTGTGGGTGTGGGTGTGGGTGTGGGTGGGTGTGGGTGTGGGTGTGGGTGGGTGTGGGGGTGGGGGTGGGGGTGGGGGTGGGGGTGGGGGTGGGGGTGGGGGTGGGGTGGGGGTGGGGGTGGGGGTGGGGGTGGGGGTGGGGGTGGGGGTGGGGGTGGGGTGGGGGTGGGGGTGGGGGTGGGGTGGGGGGGGTGTGGGGGTGTGGGGGTGTGGGGGGTGTGGGTGTGGGTGTGGGTGTGGGTGTGTGTGTGTGTGTGTGTGGTGTGTGGTGTGGGTGTGGGTGTGGGTGTGTGTGGGTGTGGGTGGGTGGGTGTGGGTGTGGGTGTGGGTGGGTGTGGGTGTGTGGGTGTGGGTGTGGGTGTGGGTGTGGGTGTGGGTGTGGGTGTGGGTGTGGGTGTGGGTGTGGGTGTGGGTGTGGGTGTGTGTGTGTGTGTGTGTGTGTGTGTCCCATCCGACGCTTGGATTTTGTCTATGCGTGGGCCCCATGGCCTTTTGACCCCGTTCCCAGGGCGGGGCAGCTTTTCATCCCGCGAGCCGTTCTCTGACGGCCCCGAGACCCAAAATCGGTTTCCAGAGGTTGGGATTCGGGACAAAGCGGTCGCCTCGATTTCGCTCGAGGCGCCAGATGTCCGGGTATGTTGTTCGATGTGTGGGAGGTCTCGGGAGCGGTCTCGGGAGCCCTAAGATCCGGGCGTTGCAATTGTTGTCCCACCTCCTTCCGGCGACGAGAGAGCCGAACAATGCATCCGAAAGAGAAAGCCTCCCCCAGACGCCCTCGCGCCTGGGGCAGAAATACGTCGGACAACTTGTTGCGGTTTGGCTTCTGGGTGCCTTCGCCACGCCCCAGGGCCGTCAAAAACGATTCGGGAAGAAAAACCGGTCCCTGGGAACACGGTCGGGGCGCTGGAGAAGGAACCCTTTTCGTTGGGGAGGGGCTCGGTGCCCCCTGATTGTTTTACAGCCTACTTCCGGTGTTCCCTCAAGGTTTTCGATGGGAAGTCGAAGCTTCACTTATGGGAAGAGGGGGGGCCTCGTTCCTTACTTGGGTTTCCTCGGGTCAACGCCCCGACGGTAGAGACCTCTGGGTCCCACGATCTGAAGTAAGCTTGAGTCGTGCCTGTCCCTCGACAGGGGAAATATTGAAATAGTTAAAAATTAGTCTGGGGATGATTTTTTGATGATTGTTTGACCATTTTGGGGTACTTTTCGGCTACTTCTTATTTTTCGTCCAAAATCCCCCTGTAGGGGAGCACGCCCGACTTAAGGTAGCACGACGTCGGGAGCCTGGGTTCGGAGGGGGGGCCGGGCCGGCCGAGACGACTCCTGGGCCTCCCCAGGGCGCTTCATCGTCGCCACAGACGGCCTCGCCCCGGAGAGACTCAGGCCGGACGAAAGAGGGGGATAGGGAAAGGGGGGGTTACGAAATTTGCTGCATGTAGCTTGTTTCGGCCCCAATGAGGGGACCATTCCTCGATACATGGCCGCCTCCGGCGCCGGGAGGCGCCAGGAAAATCAGCTACGTGAGCTGATTCTCAAACCCCTCCTTTGCTATCCCCCCCTTTCACCCAGTCCGAGAGACGGGCCAGGGTGGACCCGCGGGCTGGCCAGCTGGCGCCAGATCTCCTTTGTTTTCAACAACAGCAACAACAAAAAACTGGCGCCGCCAGATCTTCCATTCCAGCCGTGGCCTTGAGGCGTTTCCCCAACGTTCCTTGAGAGGTTTCAGGTTTCTGCCCCAGGTTTTTCCTGAGGCGTTTCCCCAACGTTCCCCGGGCGTCCCCGGACTTCGGAGGTCCCTCCTGCAGGACCCTCGCCCCCCCCCCCCAGGCTTTTACTACAGAGTTCCTGCCGCAGCGAAGGCCGCTGCGCCAAGCAGGCCAGGAGAGCGAGCAGTCCGTTTGATAGACGCTTCGGCGGGGACTCCGTCCCGAAGAGGGACATCTGCACAAAGATAGATGTTCGGAGGTCCGCGCGGATGTCCTGGGTCGGCGCTGGGCCCCCCTGGCGGCGCCAACGGCGCCGCCCCGGGAACGCTGCGCGCCAGGGTGGGGGACGAGCGCCGATCCAAAAACATCTGTGCGGCAAGAGATTATGCTCGTGTCGACGTTCATTGTTCATGGTGTCTTCCTCCGGGTCCGAGAGGGCCAACATGTGGAGGAAGGGGGCGTGGACGATAATTGGCAGCGCAGGATGCGCTGTCGGCGTCAAAGCGAACACGGACCGATGAGAGGCGATCTTCATCCGCGCATCATGAACCGCCGCCCATTTCGGACATCAGTCGCTGCTGGGCGTTGTCCCAGGTGATGTGGCCCCCGTTCCGGGTGCGACGCCCAGGGCGCAGCTTTTGGCCATCTCTCTCCCTCGTTCTCCTCCCCCGAAACTTGGAGGCTGGAGGTAGCCAAGGCACCAGCTGTGGCAGCCAAGCTCTTGGACAAGGGAGATCCAGAGTCGTGGTGCCGCTTGGCTACCATCATGCCTACAGCGGAGACACACGCCGAGAAGCACCTTGCTTGCCCCCAGGGTGCCCTGAATTCCTCGGGCTTCGATGGCTCTGCGATGGAAAGCGTGACGCTCCCACACCAAAAATCAATGGGTGTCCTGGGGTCTCAGGGTTGGGTGTCTCGTGGAAGGCTTCTTGTGGACTGGCCTCCACTGCAGACGGCGGCACCGGGCTCTCCTCGTGGCCGCGCCCGCTCCCTCCACCCCCCCCTGCTGCCAGAGCGGACGAGTGTTAAGTCGGGCCTGTCCCCCCACAGGGGAATTTTCGACGACAAAATAAGAAATACTTCAAAAATAATCAAAACATGCTCTAAAAATAGTCTGGGGACTATTTTTTTAGTATTTTCTGACTTGTTTGGAGCATTTTGGGGCATTTGGGGGTATTTTCTATTTGTCGTCGAAAATCCCCCTGTAGGGGGACACGCCCGACATAAGACGAGTGCGAAGCAGGTGTTGGGGCGAGCCGCGAGTCTCGTCCGTGGCCGTTTGGCTCAGGCCATGATGCCGCAAGTTCGTTGCGACTTCGCGTGGGAGCGACGTTCTAAACACTTCTAGCAACACCCTTTCCACTATTCCAGTCCTAGGTTGGCGCGCTGTGTGCGTTACTCCAGGACAGCATGGTGATGATATTGGCGAACGCCGTATCAGCACTCTACGTAATCGGTGGCGGATACTCGACCTCTTCTGGTGGATTTGCAGAAACTTCATGTGGCGCAGTAGGTCTGCAGGACGTTACCACAATCGAGGAGTGCCATTTTGCGGCAGAACAGGTCGGCATCGCAATTAAAGAAATGGTTGGTCCAGGAAATTGGGCTCATGTGCCTTATGGTTGCACGGTGCAGCAAGGTTCTGCAACACCAGAATCAGGCGCTGTTGGGACGAATGGGCGGGTCCACTTCAGCACCACAACGGGGAACAACAATGGTGGTAAGGGAGGGTACGTTTTGATATGCAAGCAGTCGCCCACAACAGTCCTGACGCCAGCTCCGACGCCGGCACCAGCAATTACTCCTCTACCAACGCCGGCGCAGACGTCCTCGCCGACTCCAGCACCGACCCAGGCGCACGATGTCGCGAGCAGCGACGCGAAAGACATCGTGAGCGACCTTCCACGGATCGCTGTGATGATATCCGGCATCGCGTTCGAGGACAGCATGCGCGCCAGAGTCCGCGGCGGCAACCTCGTGGACCACATGGTTGAGGATATGGATCACCAACCCGAAAGCATGATGCCCAGTTCGGGGACCCGGCCGTGGGATTCTTTCAAAAAGCACGTACTCGAGCCTTTGAGGAGGGATTTCCACGAGAGGGTGGACATCTTTGTTTGCACGAATCAGTTTGTAGCAGCTGCGCCAGTGGAAGTTACGGCCGTCTTCACCATCAATTCGACAAGTCACACATCCAGGCTCGGCTTTTCAGAGGAACAGTTTGACAGGTCCAAGGCGTGTTTCTCAAACGTGCTCGAATTCGGTAGGCGTTACACATACTTCATGAAAGTGCGACCTGATTTCGTCTTCATTACCGACATCGAGGACTATTCGAACTTGCGCCATGATTGCATGCATACGCGCTTTCAGCGCATGTGGAATATCGCGGGGATCCGGCATTGCCACAGCCAGCTCATATTCGGTCGGTGTTATAGTTGCAATGGAGAGTTGCGTCATCCTGTTGGGGGTGTCCGCTTTGGCTGGATTGTTGACGACATGGTGTTCGTCGCCCCGTTCGAGCTTGCAAAATCTGTCTTCATGACCAGCGCAGAGATCCACCATTGGGCACGGTATAACATCCCTAACCATAACCGTTGGATTGACAAATACGAGCTGCATAACTCAACCGAAGGATCATATACGAATGCCCTGATCATGAATAAGGTTCCAGTGTGTCCTCTATGCATCAATGGGTGGCCGAAGAGCTCTCATCGTGACTGGCATCAGCACCAACATGAATGCAGCAACGCGAATTCGACGTACGCCTGTGGAAGATATCAAGGCTCCGTCGACGAGTGGGTTGAATATATCAAGACAGGGCGGCTCCCCAGCAAGGTCCAGTGGGAGATGGACAGAGAGCGACACTTGGCAAGACACGAGACTCTCAGTAGCTCCAGCGACTCCTGAATCTCGGGGCCCTGCCGGTGGGGCGGCACCAGCGCAGCGCGGTGCGGTCGAACCGAGGCATAAGATCGAAGTCGGCTCGAGGAGGGTACCCTGATGTTTTTCGTGTTTGCTGAATGTTCTTGTGCATCTTGGGGAGGGTACCCTCGCATGTTCTTCAGTTTGGCCAGCGGAGGATCTCATGATCTTGACGGATGTTTTATATGTCTCAGGTATGACTGTTTTGTTTTTCGAGTTCCGGAATTCGGAATTCTGTAGTAATAATAATGACGTGTAGAGGTTCATAGCACGTTGATCGGGACTATTACCTCGTGGATTGGCAACAGGGGCGCGTCATCGGAAACAAATGGTTGAATATCCATATCTGCTTGCGCGGATCAATCCATCCCGCCCTATACCCTTTCCACATGATCGCCACATTCCACACCCTCAGGTCGTGAACGCGATCTGAATTGATCTCCCCCTTGAGGCGTCGTCGCCGTCCCCGTCGTCGTCGTCGTCGTCAGCGAGTCGTAGACGTCGTCGACGTTGGTGACCGAGCAGGACTGACTCGTGACAGGCCGCAAAGAGCCCTACCCTCCGCAACGTGCCGCCCCCGATGAGCTCAGCCTCCCTCCGCGGGCACCCTCCCGAAATTTTGTCCGACGGCGCGATGTCTTAAGCCTAGCAGTTCTTTCTCCCTTACGGCTTCTGGGAGCCGCCATTTCGGCCTCTGGGACCTCCCTGGGGCCGCGCACCGAAGAAAACGGATTGCCGAATGTCTGAGGAGATCAGCCTCCCTCCTCCTCCGACGTTGCATGTTTTCCGCGAGGTGGGCCACTGGGGATCTCGACCCTCTGACGGGGACCGGCTGTTCCTCCCGAGCCCTCCGTTGACGGCCCCGCGGTGCCGAAGCGAGCGACCTGCGGCCGAAAGCGTAGCAGAGTCTGCCGTCGCGACTCCTGCTGCGACGCCTGGGCCTGCGAGCTCGCCATACCCCTGGAGGTCTGGACCCTTATCTTCTGGGCTGGCCTCAAGTCGGGCATGTCCCTCTACAGGAGGCATGTCCAAAACCAGTCAAAAAATATGAGTCTGGGGACGACTTGTTGCAGTTTCCCTCCAAAGTATGCCTGTAGGGGGACATGCCCGACCTAGGGCTGGTCTTTCGTCGTGAGTAGTTTCTGGATGCTCCGGGGACCAGGCCCCAGAGCCGGAAGCGGCACAGAGATAAGCGCCTGTCGTGATGCCTTTGCGCGACGAGGGGGGGGGCGATCGAACCGCCGCTGAGTCAGCCAAGGGGCGCTCAAAACGCAGCCAAACGCGCTCAGAACACAACCAAACGTACGCGGCTGCACAACAGTGCGCAACGTCCATGGAAATTGCGATGGAGAAGGGGTGCCACGCGAACCCACTTCGACGCAGCGGGGCAGTAGAATGGGCGCTTCGCAATAATTCTCCGGCGCAGTCGCACTACAGCGTAACAGATATAACGACGCAGAGGTTTCGCGCCTTTGCGCGAGCAAATCACCGCCAGGAGCTTAATCGGACCCCTTGGGGGTATCTTCGAGACCATTGCGCCCGGAAAGATAAAGCGGCTGCAACATGTCAACAGCCGTGGCAGCGCATCGCTCCCGCAACGCACAAAGTACATCAAAGCCGCATCATTATGTCGGTATGGACATGTGTATTTGCACATGCGCATGTACAGATGTTTATGTGCTTGCACGTTGTAGGCCCCCCCGAGCCGAGGACGACCCCCCCGAGGCATCCAAAGGCTTCCAGACATCCCCGACGACCCCGGCAGAGCCCAAGCAGGCACCAGGGGCCGCAAAGGGTCTCCGAGGGCTGCCCTGGCCCTCCGACGATCGCAAGGGCGGTTCCCGGGGACCACCGGAACCCGCCAGAGGCAGCCGCAGCCCCCCGAGGCCCACCGGCCCCCACGACGAGCACCACGATCGCGAGCCTTGGCGGCCCCCAAAGGGTACCGAGGACCCCGGAAACGCTCTCGGAGCCTCCGCGCCCCCCACCAGGGGCGGCCGGCAACTTGCAGAGGCTCCGGGCACACGCCGAAGACTTCGCACGATTGCCGAGGACTCCCGTCGGAGAAGCGCCGGAGGCCTCCGCCGAGGCCGCGCCGAAGGGCCTCCCACCGGCGCTTCGCGGAGCACCCCGCCCTCCCCCGAGCAGCGGGCCCAGCGGAGCGGACGCCGGCCAACCGCCGCCGCGACGACGACGACGAGGGGGAGGGGGGAGGAGAGGCAAGGAGGGAGGGATGGGGAGGGAAGGGGGGAGTGATGCAGGGAGGGATGCCACAGGGCCCAAGAGGGGGGAGGAGCCAAGGCAGGAGGGGAGAGGGTGGAGCAGGACCCTTTTCTCGATGGCCTCGAGAGGCAGGTAAGCGGGTCGGGGGGCCGAGGGCATCCCCGGGGACATCGCGAAAAGGTGTTTGAGAGAGCAGCGGCCTCTCAAAATGCTCTGGTGTAGTAGCGCTAACTGAGGTATAATGCCCCGGGGAAGACCCAATTTGAGAGAAATTGAGACGAAGAGGTTCGTCTGGTGAGAAACTCTATGGCAAATCGAGGCAACAAAGGTCAAAATTGGAGCCAGTTAGCCCGACTTGGTGAAGGCAGTTGAGCGTTTCCGATGGCAAACCACATTGGAGACCCCCACGGGGCCGCTGCTACGCAGCGGCGCCCGAACGCCATTCTCGCTTCTCTTCCTTCCTCTTCCCTCCTCCCCCCTCCCCCTCCTTCCTCCCCGCCCCTCATCCTGCCCCCCCTTCCCTCCTCCCCCCTGCCTCCTTCTCCCTCCTCCTCGCTCCTCCTGCCTCCACCTCCCCCTGGGCGACGGCGACGACGACGACGACGACGACGACGACGACGACGACGACGACGACGACGACGACGCCTGCAGTACGGGGCGATGCGTTTTAAACGCGCGGTGCAGCGATGACCCTTGCCTGTCCAGGTAGGGGCGTGGGGGGGGGGGGCAACGGGGCGGGAGGGGCGCGCGAGGGGCCCTGGACAGGGGGCCAACGTACTCACGTAAAGGGGCCCGCTTGCAAGCCCCCTTCCCGCGCAAATCACGAGCTCCAGAAACATGGTGGGAGCGGGTGCCGGTTTGTTTCAATGTAACTCAAGGTAGAAGCAAGCATAGCTCTGGCTTCAACTGCAGCAGTATACCTCGTAGAGCTCTTCGACGAGATGAGCTAAGAGGAATTCTGGCGCGGGGTGGAGCTAGCGACTCGTAGAGCTTCCCTAAGAGCGAAGCGGCGAAGCTAGAGAGTAATTCCGGCGCGCTGTGGGCGGCGTCGACACGAGCAGCGGGGTCGAACCGTGTTTCCCCCGCGGCGTTTCTCACTGCGGCGCGTGCCGTTCCAGCGACGAGGAGCCAGACGCGGCCCCGCTCAGCGAGCGCGCGTCTTCGAGAGTACGACTGGCTTCGACGTGGGCTTCCGAAATTCTGGACCCGGGCGCGGCGTGGCCCCGCGCCCTCCAGCAGCGACTGCAGAAGGTGGCACCCTACGAGATGCAGGGCGGCTGCGCGACCCTTCGGAGACGAGCCACGCAATCCACTGCCGACACTGAGGGTCATAATGGGCCTGCTTGCCACCACCACCACCACCATAAAAGTTGGAGGGGGAGGGGGCTCCTCCTCCCCCTCTTCTTCCTCCTCCTCATCCTCCACTTCCTTCCCCCCTCCAACTGGTGCTGGTGGTGGAGAACAGGCCCATCAGATCATTCGATAGCGCGACTTTGATGGCGCAGCAGCAAGTTGCGCGAGGACAGAGGCCATGCCAGACGACCGCTTCCGAGCGCCTATAAAGGCGCGCGCCCCAAACCCGATCGGCCCGCCCGAGCACGGAGCCGGCCGGCACGAAGCCCGCCCAATCGCCACAAAGTGCAACATATGGGCACCGCGACGGTACAAACCTCGCGCGCAATGGGCACCCGAGGAAAAGAAAGGTCATCTCGCGTCGTCCGACGGCGCGCTCAACTGTTGCCCCCCCCCTCGACGCCACACCCATGCTTGATTTCAGGCCTCCCTGGCCAGGACGTGCTAGGGTTCACCGAGCGCGTGCCACTACTCGCAGAGTGCCGACTCGCAAACGCCCGAAAAACACGTGTCTGCTTTGATGTAATGTATCGTAGATCCCCCGCGGCGGATCCAGGCCAGTTGCGAGTAGCTACTTTGCGAGTAGTGGAACGCGCTCGTCTAGGGGTAAACAACGAGAAAGTATCGAGCGGAAGCCGTTGTCATCGCAGCTGGGCCTTCACCAACTTGAGCAGATTTGAAGGAACTCCCGAACCAGAGCGCCGTTCATTAGTCGGGGGGCCTGTCAGGCCGGGGCGCTTTGGGGCAAGTTTCAAAGAAGTATCAAGCAGGAGGGACGAAGAGGAGGAGGAGGAAGGAGGAGGAGGAAAAGGACGAGGAGGAGGAGGAGGACAACCAAGGCGGATGGAGAGGAAGAGGAAGACGAGGATGAGGGAGGAGCAGCAGGAGGACGTCGAGGTCGACATCTCCCTGCCCCACGGGAGGTCCTCTCCGTGAATGCCGTGGCGACCTGGGGCGCTGGCATCCACAGGCAGGGGGCAGCCCCCCCCTCGCGCTTGGCGGCCCCCGTGCGCGAGTGCTGCGGGCGATCGGCGGAGACGTCGTCGGCATTGTTGGTAGAGGCCTCCGGCGATCCCTGCACCGCCAGAATTTGTCCACATCCGCCGCTTCGGAGTCGCGCCCAAGAGTTTCGAGGAGTGGTGGATATGGATGTATCTGCCCGCCTGCGCGGGCGGCAGACATTTCCACTCACGCCGCTCCCCGAGTCCCGCGGGGACATGGCCCCGCGGCAGGGGATCTACGGTCAGGAATGTTGGCTTCGCGTGTCGCTCTGGTGGTGTTCTGGCATGCCACATGTCGGCGCGACACGCTTACCACATCCCAATCTTAAGTCGGGCCTGAGCCGAAAAATAGCCTGGGGACAATTTTTTAACTATTTTTGAATTTGTTGTTGAGCATTTTTGAGGTATGTTTCATTTGTTGTCCAAAACCCCCCTGTCGGGGGACAGGCCCGACCGAATCCCAATCCCCAAGCGGCAACGTCCTGAGCCTTTCCCAGCCTCCCGCCCCGCGGAGCGGTGGCGTCGGACACCTGGGCCGTCCGCTTCCGGCCTGCGGCTCTGCAGGTCTGGTCAGGGCGCACGCTGCTTCCGCGGCGAGCATCGGGCCGAACGAAAGGGGGGGATAGGGAAAGGGGGGGGTACTATTACGAAATCTGCTGCGTGCAGCTGGTTTCGGCCCCGCCGCCGGGCCCATTCCTCGATACATGGGCGCCTCCCGGCGCCGGGAGGCGCCGGGAAAATCAGCTACACGTGAGCTGATTCTCAAACGCGCCCTTTGCCATCCCCCCCTTTCGCCCGGCCCGAGAGCCGGGGAGGGCGGGGCGGGGGCCGAAGGGGGGGGGAGGCGCCTCGAGAAGGCATAGGGCGTCTCTGTAGCCCTCGTGCCTCCTGACATGCCTTCTCGGCTCTTACGGCCAGGAACTTTGGCTGAGCGTGTCGCGCCGCTAGCTCTGGGCCACCACGCTTCGGCGGGACACGCTATCCCCTTCGTGGTGCCCGGGCGTGAAAGTCCAGTGCTTTCCCGAGCCTCCCACCACGCGGAGCAGAGCGACAACGCCATCCACCTGCAATGCATAGCGTGTCGCCGGGGCCGCCGCCGCGACACGTCAAGCAAACGTTCCTGACAGCAGAGGGCGCCCGAGCCCCTCTGAGAGGGCCTGCGCCTTCTCGCAAGGCCGCACCCCCGTTGCCCGACCCCCTTCGTCCGCGCGCCGCCAACTGACCTCGAGCCCGCCCACCACTCTGGAGGTTCCGAAGTGCGAGAGCAGACGCGACGCGGACCCCGCCGGATGATAGCACAGGGGTTTTGTCACGCGATGGGCGTGCCGTATTCTGTCGCCCCTTCCCCCCCCTCTCTAGTTCTGGTCGCCGCCTGCTTTTTCAGGCTCGTGGCATTTAGGATTCCGCTTCCTGTGGAGCGCTTGATCATCATCACCATCAACATCATCATCACTAGCACCATCAGCAGTACCACCACCATCACCATCACCATCACGATCATCATCATCAGCAGCATCATCAGCATCATCATTACCACCAGCACCATCAACATCACTATCACCATCAACGTCAGCAACATCAACATCATCATCAGCACCATCAACAACATCAACATCAACATCATTATCATCATAATATTCAGCATCATCATCATAATTATCATCATCATCAGCATCATCATCATCAGCAGCAGCATCATCATCATCCGTAGCCATTTTGGCTGGAGCCATCTTGGTTCGAGTTCGAAGCGTGCGTCCCTGACGCTTCTAACGTGGGGGCAGCCGAGGGGGTGGCTCGATCGCCCAACGGGAGTTCCTCCGGCACTCACGATCCCCTGTGGTGTGCTGCCTGTGCGGCCACAGGCTCCGCTGTGCTGGTGATCTGGCTTGCCTCAAAGCCCCGCGCGATGACGAGGTTCGTAGACCTCTGTTCCCCGCCTGGCACTCAAGGTGGCGGTTTGGATCTAGCTTGTGTCCTCGCGTAGCTCAGCAACAACATGCCGCCTCGATCCTCGGATAAAGGGCCTTGCAATGAAGGCGCAGATGGGCAAGATGAGAAACTGAATCTCGAAGTGTACGAATTTGGAGACGCAGACGACCGCGATCAACACGGAGGCCAGGGTACCACCAGGGTTGACACATGGTGAAGGACCTGGATCGCAAGTACGAGGAGAAGTCCGCGAGCTTCAACAGTGGCGAAGCGGTTCACCCATCCTCCGTGATCGCGTAGCTGGAGAGCAATGTGCCGAAATGTCATACTCAGATCGAGTTTGTTTCAAGAGTCCGCACGTCGCGCGGTCCTGTGAGTTCACAGGTGGGCCACAGGGTGATGCCACGACGGAGCGTCTCCAGGGACGATAGTATATATGTATGTATGTATGCATGCATGCATGCATGTATGTATTTATGTATGTACGTGTGCATGTAATTTTACAAGTATGTTAGTCTATAGATATACATACATACACATACTTACATACATAGGTGGCTCTGCGGTTTTCCAAGGGAGATGCTAGCGTCCACATTTCGAACGCATGCTTGTCAGTTGCCACGCAGTGCGAGTATTTGACCGGTGCAGAACGCAAGCCTATGAATAGCAAGATCGTCGATCCCATCACGTGCAGTTCGCACGCGGAGGTTCGTGAGTCCATGAAGTAGGCGAGGGCGAACACTCCCTGCCGGATGGACCCCTCGGACGGTATGAAGCGTGCGTCTTCGGAAAATGGCTGTTTCCAAATCTTGGCGTGTCGCCAAAGATGGAGGATCACTACAAACTCGGCGCTGACCTCTTCAAGGGCATTGTTTTCGTGGCTGACGGTGGCGAGTGTATGAAGCTTGCGTCCATTGTCGGCATCGCTGGTGGTGAATCGGGCACCTTCTCAGTGGAACTTGAAGCTAGGAGCCTCAAGTGCTCGGGGTTCACGGTCGAGGGTATCACGAGGTCCGGCGAGAGAGCACAAGCTGAGATTATCTAGTGGGAAATGTAAGTGATGCGCCTCTGATGCGCATGGGAGAATGTTCTAGCAGCGGGGCTGCACATGATGTTTCTCGCGATTCCGCTTCCCCATCGTCGGCCGTAGCCGTTTTGGCTCAAGATGATAGTTGCGATGGGAAGTGCGTGGAGATTTCTGCTCCGAGGCCAGACTACATTGGCTTCTCTTGTAGCGATCCTCACGCTCGCTGCCCTGCAGCCGTGAACCACGTTCGAGGGACTCGCACCTGTCCGGTCAATCGGAAGTTCCCCTCCGCGATGAGCCCAGGGGGGTCATTCCCTGTGTTCGAAAAGCCAGATGGACCTGATGTCAAGAAGGAGGACCAGCGTTAGAAGTTCGCCCCGTTTTGGCAAGAACGCGGCTGGGAAAGGCAGCCGGGTCGCTGACAACCCTCGCTCGCGCGCGTGCCACACATGCCCGGGGGCATCCAGAATGCGCAGAGCGACGCGCAGAACTACGTGGCGACGAAGGACGACGCTCGCCACCTCAAGTCCATGTGCGAGGGGAACGACAGGAAGGTCGAACAGTCAGCATTGGTCGCCCTGTCGGAGACGGCCGTTCAAGACGCAGTTGTCAAAAGGCCACCTCCCACAGAAGAGCCGCAGCGCCACGACTACGGACGCCGCCTACGTGAACGGCTTTGCGAAGAGGGTTCGAGCGGATGGGCTCGCACGGCTGGGCCCCGCGCCAGGCCTGCGAGTTGGGTTCCCTGGCGCGCAACAAGGGCGCCGCGGCGGACACGCAGCTCAGAGGACGCACCCCCAGATTCCAGCGGGGACGCATCGTGACGCACCTGGCCGCGGCCCAAAGGTGGGCCACCTTCGCGAGGCTCGGCTGCCAGGGCTGCAAGGGCGCGCTCCTCCTCGTTGAAGACGACGAAGTCCACCTGCTGATCCCGCTCGAGGCTTCCGACGACGACCTCTACATAGTCCACCCTCAACAGGAAGGGACCGACAGGTTCGGCATCGACGCGGCCGCCGTGAAGTCGTGGACCGAGGCCGCCACAGAAGAAATGACCTTGCCGATTCGCCTTCGCGGTGTCCCTAGGCCTGCTGACGGGGGCGCGTTTGGCCGCGGGGCCGCAGCGCGCGGTGCGGGTCCTTCTGCAGGAAAAGGGCCACCAGTCGAGACGTGAGTTCTAAGTTTGCGCCAGGCCGCCTCCGCCTCTCGCCCAGCCTCCCGCGTCCGCTCCGCCAGTTGTTCTCCCCCCCCCTCCTCCTCCTCCTCCTTCTCCTCCTCCTCCTCCTCCTCCTCCTCCTCCTCCTACTCCTCCTCCCCCTCCTCCTCCTCCTCCTCCTCCTTCCTCCTCCCTCCTCCACCTCCTCATCCTCCTCCTTCCTCTCCCCCTCCTCCTCCCTCCTCCTCCTCCTCCTCCCTCCTCCTCCCTCTCCTCCTCCTCCTCCTCCTCCTCCTCCTCCTCCTCCTCCTCCTCCTCCCCTCCCCTCCTCCTCCTCCTCCTCCTCCCATCCTCCTCCTCCTCCTCCTCCTCCTCCTCCTCCTGCCTTCCACTCCGCCCTCGCCTTCCAACTCCGACAACCCCGAGAACGATGCGCCCCTCCACAGTCACGTCTGCCGCCTCTTCGCTCCCGCCTACAATGTCAGCGCCACGCCCTGGAACAGCTGCCTCCTTCTTCGGTACCACTAAACTCCAAGTGCAGCAAAGCCATCAGAAGTGCCCCTGGATCGCGGGCCTCTCGGCAAACGCGAGGCGATGTGTGCCCAGGGGGCTCACGGGGCCCCATGGCATTTAGTTCATTGTTTCGAGGCGTTCATGATTGTTGCGATGTCGATTCCTCAGGTTCTGCTCACACGGAAAGTGGTTGCGTCGTGAGTTTATGTCCAGCGTTCGGCGACGATTCCCTTGTCAGGCACCGCGCGATGATCGAGGATCGCGCCCCAGAATCCCACCGGACGCCTGCACACATTTAACATCCATTGCGACCACACCCATTTCACCGCCCATAAGACGAGAGGGAGGTGGAGGAGGAGAAGGAAGAGGAGGAGGAGGATCAGGAGGAGGATACAAGGAGACGAGTAGGAGGTGGAGGAGGAGGAGGAGGAGGAGGAGGAGGCGGAGGCGTCGACACTTCTTGGCTCGGGGTCTCCGAACAGCGCGAAGAGTGCGACGTAGTGAAAAAGAGATCGAATGCCCAGGCGTTCGCGCGTAGGCTGCCCGCGTAAGGTCGCGCGTAAGCGCCCTCGATTCCAGCGTAATGTTCCGCGCTGGCGGCCTGCGTAAGCCACCGCCGAGGATCGCTCTGTCATCTTGCTTAAGACACGTTTCTTTTCGTCGCTCACGTGTCGGCGGCTCCAAGATGGGGCCCTGGGGGTCGGGCCCCCTAGGACAAGAATGAGCTCCAGGCTGGATCTACACTGATCGAGGCTTGTCTTCCTCAGGGCCCCAGCCATCAAGGCCCCCATCTTTGAGCCGTCGAAACCTGAGATCCGACGCTGCGAGAAAAATGCAACATCGTGAAGCATCACGACCAGAGCCATGGACCCCATCTTTCTGCAGCATTCTTCGAGCTGGGGCCCGAAACCTGGCGGAGACGACGCCCGGTTAGAAAAACTTGCAACGCCCGGGTCTCAAGGATCTTTGAGCCGCCGACGCGTGGCAGACCTCGCCCTGAATGGTGGCGGAGGCGACGGCGACGAACCTTGCGACGGCGACGGCGGCGGGGCCAAAAGCGGGGCGTCGAGTCGACATTTCTGTGCCCGCGGTCTCCAGAGATTCAGCCACGGGGCAGACCTCGCCCTGGATGGCGGTGGAGGCGGCGGCGACAACCACGGCCACGGCGACGGCGGCTCTTCCGCCGGCCGCGCGGGTGCTCGCCTGCTGCTGCTGCTGCTGCTGCTGCTGCTGCTGCTGCTGCTGCTGCTGCTGCTGCTGCTGCCCGCAACCGCCCATCTCGCCGCCGGGCGGCCGCGTAGTGCTCGAGAGCCGCCAGGGAAGGTTTCAAGACTTCGCAGTGCGATCGCCTTCATCGGAGCGCGCCAGCTACCCATCGCTCCCTGCAGGTATGCACTCTGGGCTCCCACCTTCCAATACATTTTGGGCGCCACACCATGTCTGGAGTCGGGCGGCTTCCCCTCGCTCCGCCCTTCTCGGGGGGGCGGGCGGCTCAAGCCGTGTGGCGGCCCGCTCGCACCTGAGCAGAGCGTGCAACGGGGTCCGTCGGCCCGCAGCCGTGGGCGGAGCTTGCCACGAAGAGCGTCTCGCTCAGATCCCCCGCCTGCACCATTCCTTTTCCGGGGGCGGGCGGGAACCCCGTCTGGCTTTCAACTCCTTCTTTCACCACCCACCAAGCCACCCCAACCCAACCCGAAGGCCTCAGTTTGCCCTCCATTTCCAGCGCGGGGGGGGGGTCGGGGAACATTGAAGAAACACACGGAACGCGTACCCCCCCCCCCCAACCTGAAATTCGGGTCAACTTCGGGCCTTCGGGCTGGGTTGGGGGTGGTCTGGTAGGTAGTGCTTCTTGCCTCCGTGCCCCTTGCCCACTTGCTTGGTATCGCTCGGACGTGTGCAATTTTTTTTTTCGGCGGGGATCCTTGAGGAGCATCCTGGATCATCCTGCGAAAAACAAAAAAATAATAATTAGAGAAAAAAAAAAAACGCACGAAACCGAAAAAAGCAAAGGGAATGGACGTCCGAGCGATGGCCAGCTTGTTTCCGAGCGAGGGGTATGCACGCCGGCGCCGAGCCCGGCCAGGCCGCTCCTGAGCTCGGGGTCGGCGTGCGTGCACCCTCCCTGCAGCCGGGGAGGCGGGCGCCTGTCCCGATCCTGGTGCCCCAAGGGTCGCTCCTGCCCGGGCTCGGCGCAGGTGCAGTAGATACCCAGAACTCCAACGCATTGGTGAAAAAAGAACCAAAAAAACAAGACGGCGGTTTTTCGCAGTCTTCGGCCAATGGGGGACCTCGCCAGGCCCCAGGACCGTCAGAGAACGGCGCAGGATGGAAAGCCGGTCCTCGGGAATGGGTCGAGACTTGCGGGGGGCCCGTAAAAAAATGATCTTTGGGTAGTTGGCGCCCTCCCGCTTCACGCCCCTTCGGGCGGGCTCTCCTCGCCCGGCAGCCCGTCTCACAGTAGTACGAGACAGGCCCTCTGCCCGCGCGGAGGGAGGGGGGGTCCAGGCCGTTTGGTTGCCTGCGGCGCGTGGTCCTCCTCCTCCTCCTCCTCCTCCTCCTCCTCCTCCTCCTCCTTCTCCATCACCGCTCCTGCTGCTGGAGTCAACCAGCGGTCGAGCTCGCGGCGGAACGTGCCCGTAGCTGATGACGGTGGGAGCAGAGGAGGGGCAAGGAGGGAGGAGGAAGCGGCCGCGGAGCGGCCAGGCAGCTCTCGGGCGGGGTCCCGGGGATCGGGCCATCCCGCATGCCGTGCGGCTCTGGGGGACCTCCCCAGGCCAGGGGCAGCGATCGGGGGAGGGATGCAGTCAACCCGCATATAGTAAGGATGGGCAAGCTTCCCAAGGGTACCCTTGCACGCTTGCCTCTTCAGTCCATCCTTAGCGGCTCTCGTCGGCCAGCCTCGTTCGAAGAACGTCAGCTTGGCCCTCCAAGGCCCTTGCATCCTTCTTGTGTATCTTTATGGTACGGGTCGACTGCAGGCCCAGAGGGGGAGCGCATCGACACCCCTCGTTTCTGGTCGAAACTCTCCCGCTCGAGCGTGTCGAAACCGTCGGCGGGAATCTCGAAAGAGAACTCGATCGAATAGCTCCAAGCCGCTATCGCCCCCTCGACCCGTCGCTTCTGCAGTGGGAGAAGGGAGGCGCCTTTCTCTCGAGCCCAAGCGCCGGCGCTACGTACACACATGTACACAAGCGTGCTAGCTTACATTCCCTGGGTTTTCCCCCAGAAATCACATTCATACTATTTTCTCTAGCTAAGCTTGCTTCTCGTTCGAGCGCCGGGCAAACTCGCAAAACTCAGTACTCCCCGAAGTCAAGGTCATCGGCGAAGCCGTAGAATATGAAATAGTCCACAGTGTCGTTCACGAAATCGAACACCATGAAATATGTATGTAACCGAGCACGAAGACTACCTCTTGGAAGAACTTGAGCCCGTATCTCCCCGCATGTACGCCTGTCTCTCCCTCTGTGCCTTCACCGCCTTGGCCTGCGCCCGAAGCGTTTTCTCCTCGCTCCACCAGGGCGTGTCGCGATCCACGAGTAGGGTCCCGCACTCGGTGCACGGAACCTTCTCCTTGTACTGGTTGGTCCCCGCTCTCGTTCGCTTGTCCGTTGGGTGCTCGCACAGGTCGGGATCGATGTACTTGCTCTGGTCCTTCGTCCTGTACTTCGTGTTCGTGGGGCTTGACTTCTGGGTGTACTTGCTGTTGCCAGCTTCGCTGTAGCCAGCTGCCTGGGTTGCCTTCCGACACTCCGCGCATCCGTCGATCACCCTGCGGTACGCCTCCAGAACTCCGTCCTCCAGCACGTCTCCGAAGTCGCTCTCGATCTTCTCGTAGGGGGCGTGTCCGGTCCTCTCGTGTAGCCGGTATGCCTTCTGCATGAGCTTCTTGGATGGCGTAGCCGGTGGTGTCGTCGATTTGGCGCGCACGCTCGGGACGTCTTGCCAGCTGCCCTCGTCCGTGTCGCTAGGGACCTTCTTGTCTTCGGCCTTGTCCTTGGACTTGTGTGGCTTCTTCCGGGTCCTCGGTCCGCACTCGCACTGGTCCACCGCCATGCGACACACAGTGCACACTACCATGGTAGCACACACAGCAGCTGCACCTCCCTGTGGGCTTGCCCTGATCTCCTCAGTGTCAGCCCCCGTCGCGTCCATCATGGAGATCTCCTTCGCGTCGTCGGTGCAATCCAGCTCGGCATTCACGTCTGACTCCCCAAGCATCTCCGTCTCCGATGTAACATTCAGCTCCTCCTTGTCCTCTGGATCCTCAGTCGCATCTGGCTTCTTGATGGTGTGCTTCTCTGCGAAGTCCTTCTCGTAGCGCTCGAGGGCCGCCTTGGTCGGTGTGTAGACCGTCAGCAGCTTACGCACGTGCGTCGGGATCGTCCGACGCTTCACCACCTGGTCCAGGCCGGACCAGTCGACCATCTCCTCGAGCTTCTCGTAGTAGATATCGTCCTCGCGCTGGCCCAGCATCATCCGCCAACGTAGATATGGCTTCGGAG